AGCTTCGTTGTGCTCTACATTGGCTTATCATCTCCCCGTGGTATACCGTTGGATGGAGACAGAGGAATAATATGTAAAAAATCAAATCCCTGTCTACTACTGGAAAAGCAAATATAAATGTCCTCAAGATGTATAATCCACACTGGTTGAAGGCTGATTCGTAGCATTGTTTTCTTGTACAAATATTAGCAAAAATAAGATGACTTATCAAAAAATCTCATAAATGGAAATAAAAATGAATCTAGATCACTGTTTTCTTAAATAAAACAGAAATCCAGATTATGTGTATCATAGCATGTGGACGAACTCACAGGAAGGTACCTCAGATTCAGTTCAACACATTTTTTAATGTTACCACATGAGCAACCGAAGATAACACTTATAGCTTTTCTACTGGTGGTAGAGCCTCATAAGTTGGCTTCAATTAAGCATCACTCCCACCCTTAAAAGTCTTTTCTTAACTCTAACACTTCATAAATGCATGCATATACAGTTTTAATTTGAATTCAAAATAGGTTCTTGGAAGAAAATGTCGTTCTTTTTTGTGTAATTGAATAAGTTACATTTCACTGAAGATGGAATGTAAAACTTCTTATAAGTGGAACAAACAGATATCCAGGTACAGTTTTACTTTTAGAGCTACAGTTAACTGCCACTTTTGCTTCCCTGAGGAAGTTACTAAGGGATTCCTAAGCACATTGGGTTACCAGTCTAAGAAGCATTTACCCCAAATGGTGAAAGCATATGGAAACTTAGATCTGTGTTGAAATAGGTGTGAAATCACAGCACTTTGAAAATGTTGTGATTGATCCCATTGAGTTCAATGGGCCATGAGGAAAAGTCACATTCAGAATGATGAATGAAAACAGGGTGGAACTCAGGAAGCTTCAAAAAAAGATAGAAATCGGCTTAATCCTCCAAGGCAGCCATGTTCTCTGATTTTCCTATAAAAGTGAGTAAAGCAAAGCAAATCGCCTGTTTCCCAAGCTGCAGATGTCATGAGTGACAAAGCCTTCTATCCAGCTGTGCCACCGTGTGCATCGTATGATCCTGACTTAAGTTGACACATATATCCAGAGGGAGAGCTAGATCCCTTTTCACGGGGCTGGGGAGTGGGGCACAGATTTTAAACTTTAAATATTAAGCTCTGAAATCTTTCGCATGGGCTTGTCAGGAGTTTATCGAGGGGGAAAAGACAGCCTTCAGTCTCAACAGGATGCACTGTTTGCAGGTCAATTGCTGAGCCACTGATAAATAACTGGACGTCAAATCAGTTTTGTTGCTATAACAACCAAACTGACTGGCCCATTAAGGGTTGATTCTGGTCAGTAATACAATCTCTGGTTCAGAGTATGACTGTTCTGACTGCCCCAAAAACTAATTCCACCAGGAGGTCACTGCGTTGATGCCACCAGGCCTCAGAATGTTGAGGAAGGACATGTTGAGGTCCTCTGCTTATTTCCTGAGTGGGGAATGGCACAAAAGCAAAACAATTCACAGATTGTTTATAGATTTTATTTCTAGTTCTGGCATTTGGAGTTCTGGAGGCACTTTCAAAGTCGAATGAATAATTCTTGTTGGATTTAAAACAGGTAGACAAAAGACAACAGAGAGACTTTATTTGCTCCGACCACACTGCAAAAGATTACATTTTATTTACAGAAATAGCAGAGCTTCGTGTGAAAAAATAAAAAGTAAACAGTAAGTGAGAATGCTTAAAATGACTAGTAATCAGAAAAATGTAAATTCAAATGATAATAGGGATTCCGTGAGATTGGGCCTGAATCGCAAATAGCTGCAGAAGTTGCCAGGAGACAGCATCATATCTGTAGCGTCATTTTGAAAAACAATCTGACTAGAAATTTTAAGAACCAGAAAATATTACCCGACTTGCTCTAAAAAATTTTATCCTAAGGAACCAGTTCACAAGAAGAAAAAGCTTATTTTTGCATGTAAGTTTATGACAGCGGGGGTGGTTCATGCTTGTAAAAATGTGAAAGTATCTGAAATGTTAAACCCCAGAAGAGTGGGCAAAAAAATCATAGTGTTTGATATAATATTACTGAGCAAGCATGAAAAGTCATAAATATGGAGACAATGTAGCAATGCAAAATACAGTCTTGTTAAATGAAAAGGCATATAAAATCTCTATATTCTCTATGGTTACTGTATGTAGTATATGTTTACACATATGAACAAGAAATGGAATGGAAGAAATAAAAACAGTTGTGTTTAAAGAAAATTTGGGGTAAGATAGATTAAGAGTCATAAAATATATATGAGCAAATGTATCTCTTTTGAAATCATTAGGTATGTTATTGTAATGTAGTTAAAACACTAACTCTATAAAAATGTTATATTGTAAACTTTGGAGCATTTTAAATTTGAGACAGAGAATAATGAGAAACATAAACCTATAAAATGTTCCTTTTAGCTAAGCTTTCGCTTTCTCAATACAATCCCCTTCAATCCAATTTCTAGACTTTATTTTTATTATAAATGCAACACATTACTTACAAAAGATATACACAAGAAAGCAAAAAGAACAATCAATAATTCACCCCCACACTGTTTGCGACTTTATCCTAACTCTCCTTTTCTTTTACAAAAATGAGATCCTACCATGAGTACTATTTAGTCACTTTACACAAAATAGTCTTAATTTTTCAGCAAACTTATTTTTAGTCAGTTTCTTTTCTTTTTGCCGTGACCTGCTTTCAGCCCATCATAGCTACCATTTATCAATTTAGGCAACGGACCAGTTACTGTTCACGTGCTCATCAACACTAAAGTGTCTGTTATAAGCAGTTCTGCACTTACTAGTACAGCAGGGCAACCATGGGGATGGAGAAGGGTTCAAGGCTCAGCCCTCCTTCTCCCAACCCCTTAGCCCTTGCTTGGAAATGTCTCTGTATTGACTGGGATGGGCCCAGCAGGCAGTGTCACCAGGCAGATGCCCCTCCTTAGTCCTGGTCCATGTGCCTCAGTCTCCTAGTTTTCAGGCTTTGGCACTGTCTTCTACCCTCAAGACTCACAACTTGAGCTTATCTCGGGTGGGCGCCTGTTAGAGCAGAGATGGACTACAGCTCGCTCCTGCTAGCCTGATTAGTATTTCTTCCACAGGATCACAAGAAATTCTAACAATACACTGGGATATTAGCTCATGATCTGCCTGAAAGCCACTCTGACCATAAGATTTATTATTATTGGTATTTTTACTACTGCTGGGCCAATCTTAACACATTATATTCATTTTAGAGAACCCCATGATCATAACATCTAAGATATGAAATATTTATCAAAACCATATTTGAGCTCCTCCTGGCCTTCTTCCTATAGCCTAACAGCCACCTGGCGTGCCTTGTCTTAACATGGCGTGATCCAAGCTTCTCCAAAAGAGACAGCTTCTCCCATCACCTTCGCCCTGCTGTCCACAAGGAAACACCAACCGCTTGCTTCTCCTCACTAACACAGGCCTGGGTTAGAATCCTAATGTTGTCTCATACCGATCATACCAGTCCCTTAACGCTCCATTTCCTTGTCCATGAAGTGAATACATCAAAGTCTAATTTGTAGTTTGCAAACATTGTTCAGTATATTGCCTGGCACACACAGGTTGCTTGGAATGGTAGATACACACAGAAGCTTCATTTACCTTCCACCGGAACAGAAGCTGGTATTCCTCCATGCTCAGCCCTGCCCTCTCTGTGCCTGAGAGTCCCCAGCCCTCGTCACTCTCAGTCCTACTCACACATTCCAAGGACTGAGTGGCTGCCACCATCTGCTTCCCCTGTTCCCACTCCAACACTGCTAATCACACATTTTGCTGGAAGGAACTTATTTATAGAATCTGTGTTCTCTGACCTCAGCCTGCTTGATCCTCACTGCAGTGGTTTATTTCTCTCCTGCCAAATGGAAATTCCAATAGCAGCTTCTCAAAATTTCCTTACATTTTTAAATAATATTTTTTATTGATTTTAGAGAGGGAGAGAGAGAGATAGAAACATCAATGATGAGAGAGAACCATTGATTGGCACACTCCCTACTGGGGATCAAGCTTGAACCTGGGCATGTGCCCTTGACCAGAATCGAACCCAGGACCCTTCAGTCTGCAGACTGATGCTCTATGCAATGAGCCAAACCACCTTCCTAACTCCCAACAGAAGACCTAGCTTCCTGTTTCAAAGAAGATCACCACTGGATAGAAAAGTCCACGGCGACATAATAAGTATTGTAATAATCTCACTAGAGCATTCCTGTTGCAACTATCATTTCCTTCCTGAAGACCATTCAGTGTCGATCCTCACATGCAAACAAGATTATGATCATGATTTAGTTTAGTTATATTCCCCCTTGTGAACCCTACATTTCAACCAATCCCTTCTATGCCAACTTTGCACCTATCCTATGACCATTTCTGTTTTTAGAATGCCATTGCCCTGCATTTTTTAGGTACCAACATGCTGCCATCCTTCAGCCTCCTAATTAAAATTTCATATGTTCCAGAATATCCTCTGTGACTATTCCAGATTCCTTTCCATTTTAAAACATGTGTACCTTGCTCTAACCGGTTTGGCTCAGTGGATAGAGCATCGGCCTGAGGACTGAAAGGTCCCAGGTTCAATTCTGGTCAAGGGCAGGTACCTTGTTTGCGGGCACATCCCCAGTTGGGGGTGTGCAGGAGGCAGCTGATCGCTGTTTCTCTCTCATCGATGTTTCTAACTCTCTATCCCTCTCCCTTCCTCTCTGTAAAAACATCAATAAAATATATTTTTTATAAAAACATATGTGTCTCTATCCTCTATTATATCATTTATCTACATCTCACCCCTCCTCTGAGAATATAAGCTCCTTAAGAAATTGCAAGCAAGAGGTGCATACGTTTATGGAATCTGAGGAAGCCAATAGAGAGGGCAGGTCTAGAGGACCCCCTCCGCTCTTTTCCCTCTCTCTGTCTTTGAACTCTCTTTCCAGTTAAAGTAACCTCCACCCAGATAGAAGTTCCCCAGGGAGAAAGGGCAAATGAGGACCAGGTCCTGTGTCCTTCAGAATCTCTGGAATGGAAGAGACAAAACAGAGGGAAGAGAACTCCTGGAATGTGGTTCCAAGGGCTTTGCTGTCTCTTATTGCTCAACAGTGTCAATGACCCTGTAACTTCCTCTGGGGCTGAGAAGTCTCTTCAATCCCAAACTTCCGGATTTGCAGATTACAACTTTGTCAAGAATGGCTCCCTCTGCCTGGAACTTAATTCATGGTGATCTCAGCTTGAGTAGCCACCAAATTGAGAAATACAAATGCTAGTCAAGTACATGCCATGCCCTTCTTCTTGATAATCTTGAGTTAAGCACAGAAAGAAGAGAGGGCCAGAAGGGAGGACAAAATAAGCATTGGTTCAAAATACGTGTATGCTCACACACATGTATGTATGTCACTTACAGTACCAGCAGCATCAGGGATTTTTGTCTTTTATCAGATCCTGTATTATCTTTTGCATGGAGACCCTTTGGAACTATAATCTTCCATTACAGTTTTGGGCTACACAATACAAATAAGGCCAGAGTTCTTAAGCAAAAAAAAAGCTGTAAAAATGTAGGATTTGACATTGCATGTCTCTTAGATGTAACATTAATCCTAAGTATATTTTAGAAACCTATATCCAAACTAGAATAGATCTAACTAAATCTTTTAAAATATCCTGCTTAGAATCAGAAATGCCTCTTTACTCCTCTTTCTATGAAACAGTGACATCTACTGCTCAGTGGGGCTAATCCTGGGGGATGTTCTAACAGTAGAATAATCCCTGCTTCACTGTCTGGCCTTCAGAGCCAGAGGCAGGCCCACAGTCACCATCGCTTCCTCCTCTCCACCCCTCTGAGGCCCCTCCACAGCACTATCATGTCTGAGCCTCTGCACAGACTGGATTCTCTCTCTCTGAATGAGTTCTGTTCTACAACAATTCCACTAGAAAGTCTTTCTTCCTCGGGAGCTCAAACTTGTGTCTTTCTAATTTGTAGCTTTCTCTTAGCTCTATCCATGGACTAGTGCTCAACAAGTAAAATTCCTTTTGCACGTGACAGCCCTAGAGACAGAGAGATGTCATATTCCATCGGAGTCTTCTTTTTCCACTAAAGACTTTCAATTTCTTCAGACTTTCTGGGTATTATTTCAAGCCCCTCTCTATATCTTTCCTATTCTCTACCTGTGTTCTTTTCTATTAGAAAAATAAAAGCGTGCCTATCACTAAAGGTCTCTCATGAGGTCAATGGCTGGCCTCCCCCTTCGTTAAATGCCTGCGATGATGTAGTGGGTAAGCCAGTGAAATCAGAAGGAGGAAATCTGGGTTCAATTCTGGTTCCCCTACATGAGCGTTCAGTGCTATGCAAATCAGCCAACCACTCTAAACCTTTCTCTTCTCACTTGTAAAATGAAAGTGACAATAATAACAAGTAATTAAGACACCTAGTAGGTTTGCTCGAAGGATGAAATGAATGTTAGCTGGGCAGTGTGTGAGGAGCACAGCTATTCAGTGAGTACTCAGTAAATGGGAGCCTTCCTGCTATTACCCAGCTGCTTCTGACTAGATAAACAAACCTGAGAAATGTTGAGGAGGCATGGGAAGTGAAGCAATAGGGGAAATAGAAGAAATAGAGGAATGCACATGTTTTAAATTAACTACAAAATGTGAAGTTTCTTAAAGTCGAGGCCAGTTTTATGAATATCCTATGCTCCAAGCTCATATCCAGTGTCTGGCATATAAAAGGAGATTAGAAAGTATTTTCTGGATGAATGCACTTCATATAGATCAAAATATACTCTACAGCGATGGGGGGAAACATCATAAAGTCAGTATTAGAGTGCTATTTCCTATAGGAAATGTGATATAGTATAAAAAGCCCAAATATAACGGATGTTGAGCCATGCCTAGGTTGCATGGTACATTTAATCGCCTGAAAGAAGCTGTTCATTCAGCAATTTTAATTCATTTGGAAACTGTTGGAGCCATATAGTAAGCCCTTTTCTGCATAAATATCATCAACAAGAGTTCATTTTTTGTGACTACCTATGTTTCAGCATAGGTGCTAAACATACAAAGTATAAGTTGTTGTTTCTTCCATGAAGGAGCTTGTAATCTAGTTAAGAAAATACTTAATTCACATTAAATGATGAGTAAAAATACAAAGGATAAAAGAGCTGTATAGCTAGTAGTAACCAACCATTCTAGTAGACGTTTCATATCATATCTTAGAAACAACGGAATCATTTCCCATTACATGTGATTCAAGCCCAATTTTGGAGGTTTATTATTTCCCCTCTAAGTCAGGTAAAGTACCTAAAGAAGAAAAAGAGAACAAAAATGTGAATATCTTTGTATGCACCTTGATACAGTCCATAGTACACTTGCTGACCCCATGGCACTCAGAGAACTGCAGTTCCACAAAGGGCTGAAGGAAAGCACTCTGGGGACTGGAGTGGGCTAGGGTCCCAAGTAAAGGAAATGCGCTTTCTTGTTGGCTGTTTTCAGTGTAACTTCTGTATGTTTAGTCTCATCATTCGCATAATGGAGAGAGAAATAACTGTGCTGTCTAAATAAAAGAATGATCATGAGAATAATATGAAATAATAAAAATGTCTTTGAAAATCTCCCTAGGCAAACACAAGTTAATATTACCCCTTATTAATATTCTCTGGTAAGGAGCAGTACATTTCCCTGCCTATCCAAAGTGATCACACCCCTCCCATGAGTCATCTTAGCAAAATAAACCATTGTCCATTCTTCAAATCAAGACATATTGGGTAGAGCCGAACTCCAAAAATAGATGTCCAGGGTGGCAAATTGCTTGGTCAGACTCAATAGCTGACATGGATTCTGATATAAACACTTGGCTGCAGTAGTCAATATTGACCCTGAACCTTGCTAAAATAAATAATTTGGTTAGATACCTGGCAGCTTAATTGTGTATTATTATACACGGTGGGTATTAAATAATTAGCACCCTTATATAAAGAATCAGACTTTAAATCCCAATTTAGGATCAAGCAGAAAAGTTTGTTATTGACTGAAACATATCCCCAGATTCCATTACCTGTAATAAAAATGAACCTTTGTAAAAGAAGAGTGGCTGATTGTCTAGCACTGCCAGCCTGCAGGGAAAATAACCAATATGAAAATTCTGGCTTACTGCCCCCACCTACTGTCTGATAGGCTTAATCCCTTCTCTTCAACCTCCCATTTTTCCCCAGGTGGGTCCAGAAATGTCCGACATGAAGGCCAATCATGGCCTTCCATTCTGACATGTTCATAGTTGGTTGCCTGCAGACTGTCTGAGGGAAGTCCTTGGGCACTGCCATTACTACACTGCACGCAGCATGAGTCTGCTGGGACTGCCTCCTTGCTATCCTCTGGGAACCAACAATGTACTGTGGAAGTGAGCATGTTTCACTCACTATTGAGGACCCCATAGCAGTACTGCTTGTGCCAAAGTCTTTCATGAAAGAGGTTAGTTTCTGTCTCCAACCATGTGTAGGCTCACCCTAGCCTAGTACACCCTAGAAGAGCAGCCATTCTCTTTCCATCATTCCTATACTATCTCACCTTTAGCCAATGAGGAACATTAAACTTCTTCACTTCTCTTCAGCCCAAAAGAAAAGGTCCTATACACACCGGCTCAGGCAACTAGATGTCCATCGAAGTTACTATTTTAGCAAAGAACCAGACTTTAAATCCCAATTTAGGATCATTAAGAAACCTCTGCTAGAAGTTATGTTCTCAAAATAGGTAAAACCTTATTAAGATTACTGACAGTATACATCTGTAAACTGCGTTTTATTTTCCAGTTGTTTTTCATACAACATCTGAATTATCTTGCTATTTAAAACAATAAACAGTGTACCTTAAACTAATACAAAATAATATTGAATGTAAACTGTAATTTAAGAAAATTAGCCTGGCCGGTGTGGCTCAGTGGTTGAGCATCAACCTGTGAACCAGGAGGTCAGGGTTCAATTCCCGTTCAGGGCACATGCCCAGGTTGCAGGCTCGATCCCCAGTAGAGGGCATGCAGGAGGCAGCCAATCTATGATTCTTTCTCCTCATTAATTTTTCTATCTCTCCCTCTCCCTTCCTCTCTGAAATCAATAAAAATATTTTTTTAACTTAAAAATTAAACAAAAATAAACTGTTACATTCTTTTTTTTGTACAGAGGACATACCTGTCAAAATTTCACATTTTCTACATAGACTATAATGTCATCTTTGAACAAAGACAGCTTTATTTCTTCCTTCCCAATTTGTATACCTTCTGTTTCCTTTTCTTGTCTTATTGCATTAGCTAAAATTTCCAGCACAATGTTGAAATGCAGTGATGATAGGAAACATCCTTTCCTTGTTTTTTATCTTAATGGGTAAAAAAGACTTCAAGACTTACTATAGAGCAATAGTCATCAAAACATTGTGGTATTGGTGAGAGAAACGACAAATAAATCAATGGAAAAGAAGAGAAAGCCCGGAAATTGGCCCACATAAGTATAGTTTACTGATATTTGTTAAAGTAGCAAAGGCAATACAATGAAGACAGTCTTTTCACCAAATGGTGCTGACACAACTACTCAGAGGAAAAAATGAATCTAGACACAGACTTTACACTTCTCAAAAAAATTAACCCAAAATGTAGCACAGGCCTAAATGTAAAGTGCAAAACTAAAAAAACTCCTGGAAGATAACACAGGAGAAAACCTAGGTAACCTTGGGTATAGCAAAACATAGATAACCTTGGGTATATACAACCCTAAAGACAAAATCTGAGAACGCAGTGTAGCATTCATTCATTCATTCATTTATTCCTCCAACAAATATTCCTTGACTTTCTATCAAATGCCTTGCTTCATGTTGCATTAAGGAGATGCAAAGATACTTACCTTTGCACAATGCCTATACTGTGCTTAAAAACATACAGCTGGGGAAAATAAAGCCTCTGATATACCTAATATTAGTGTATCACCTAAGTATTGAAAAAGGAGTTGTACAAAAAGACCTTTGGAGTAAATCATTTTGTGGGCTCAATTTATCCATAATAGAAAGGCATTAAATCAAATAATCTTTTTTTTTTTCTTTTTGCTCTCAGAAGTCAATGGTTTTGTTATATACCTACAAATGACCTATAAAACTGTAAATACATTTTAAATCATAAAAGTTATTTGTTCTCATTTGTTAATGATAAAAAATGGCTTTCTCTTTTTCAATGCCATAAAGATAATTCTTTGTAATGCATTCCACAATATCTTGTTATGAAGTCTGATGTTTATATTTTTATCATTTTAAATTTTAGGTAACTGTTTTATATATAATTATTTTTAATTTTATGTAAAGCTTGTATTATTATCACTTTTAAACTGATTTGTCAATTTTAAAATTAAAACGGGGAAAGGTGTGGAAGTCACTAATCTGCCATAATTTCAATCTGGTTTCCAATGGGGGTGGGGGCTGCATTGGAAGGCTCTTTGATTTCATTTCAATTCAGATAACATCTACTCTGGGCACCACAATAGACTTTGGTGTTCAGTGATGAATAGGGAGGTAATATTTTGAAAGGATATAATACCCCTGCCACTAGTAAGTATTATATCAAGATGATCTGCACTGGAGAGATTCTTGGCCCCAAGGTTAATCATTTACATGGACACATGTATAAGTAGACAAATCATATAACACAACCACACATCCTGTTGAGATCCTACTGTATGACAGGTGACTGCTCATTGTAGATCCTCAGACCACCCACCCACATAATCAAACTCCCAAGAAGTGCTGAATTATTGTATCATGGGTTTTTCAGCTGCTTCCAGAATTTACTCAGACTGTTACTAATTTACCTGTTCTGTCCACCGACTCTTTGTCTTGTTCTCAGATTCCCATTTGGCATTAGAGCTTGGCTTCTAATGCTTGGCTCAAGATCCCTAGCTGCTTTCAGATAACATTTTCTGGCTTAAAATTTCCTGGTCATTTCCTTTCAGGGAGGATTCTGGTATTTGCCTGTGAGACCCAAGTGTTGTGAGTCATGGATAAGTGACATTAGTGGTACCCACTGTTGCATCAGAAACACAGAGAAGGTCAGAACCAACCCTCTGGAAGAAGCTAGGCATCAGTCATATTTGAATCATGTTTTTGTTCTTTACTTCATGACTGGATCTCCATCACCATCCTACAGACATTCTCCTACTCAACACAATGTGTTCCCGAATGAAAACATGACTTGTCATTCCCTAAATACCTCAAGTGCTCTTGAACTTCTGAGCCTCTATATATACGGGAAGGATTTCTATACTTCCTTTTCATTCCAGGGATTCCTACACGTCCTTCAAATTAGCTCAAGTGACATTTCCTCTTGGGAGCATTCTGGCCTCCTCACACTACGAGCAGGGATCCTTATCAGAGACCTCCCATCAACTGATCCACTGTTTAATAATTGTTTCACTTTCTCATCTGTTTTCCAAATATACTAAAAGTTCTAGAGAGCCTTAGGTACCGTCTTGTTGATCTCTGAATCCCTGGGGCCAGGACAGAGTCTGGAATAAGCACAGGCTTAGTTACGTGAGGATTGGGCATGTAAATGCATTCACACGAATGGCTCCTTAGCTGCTAAAACATCACATTCTTGGAACTGTTCATAGGTTAGTGTCAGTTCAGAAATAGTTTTATCTTTTCATGTATCACACCAGAGGCCGGGTATATAATTCATGCACCGTTAGGGTTCGTAGGCCTGGCTGGCAATTAGGGCCCATCTGTGGGGTAACTGCAGAGTGATTGGAGGCCACTACTGGCACCCACCTTGGCCAGCCTAAGGCATGCAGGCTGGGGGCAGCTCCTGCATTGAGCGCCTGCCCCCTGGTAGTCAGTGTGCACCATAGTGACCGGTTGTTCCACCATTCGGTCAATTTGCATATTAGGCTTTTATTATATAGGATTGTGTTCTGCTGCTGCCTGCCTTTCCAGGTTTTCATTACGAATAGATAGTGAATATTTGAATGTTTTCCCTGTGGTGCTTGGGGATGTTTCTTTTTTATAAACACTTGTCTTGGCATTTGTCTCTTCTGATGGGATACCATTACTCAGTCAACACATTTTTATGTGTTGTAAGTACTTACAAAGTACCGGAGTCCTGCATCATGATTTATTTCCCATTTATTATAACAATAGCTTCTTCTACCAATTTACTTCACCATATCTTCCATCAGAGTTCTCAGACTGAGCATAATCCTCTATAGCTGGAGTACAGTGTACTCCTGAAAGTAGCCAGCCTCATACATTAGCTTGGGATTTCTCACATTTGTTCAGGTTGCCAAAATGCCTGGAATAATAATCCATGCTGATGTATTGAACTCACATTTAAAGGAGAAGCAATTTTAATTACAGAAAACATGGCTGTGTTATATGCACACAATATAACAGTTATGACACCAAAATGTACATACCTTGGAAAAGAAGCAAGTTGGTGAACCAGACATAATTATCGCAGTCATTCATTTCTAATTTCTATTTGTTATGGAAAAAATTGAATAGAAATATTCCATATCAATTATTCTGGCAATTCTTTGCTTTATCTCCTCTCATCTCTCCCTCCCCAACCCCCCACCAAAATATGTCAGTCTGTTCTAATCTATATATATAAAAGCCTAAGTGATCTTATGATTGGTTGACTGCTCCATTGGTTGACCAGTTGCAGACGCTCAACACAGGAGCTGGCTCCCACAGCGGGAGCGCTGCTGAGCTGAATGACAGGTACCAGAAACCAGAGCCCAGTGAGTGCAGCTGCAGCCTCTCCTGCCTCTGCAGCTACCAAGCAGCTTCGGGAGCAGGCACAGTGGGGCCGTATTGAACAGGAGCTGCACGCGCCCATCCTGGGCTCAGGCTCCTCCCTGGCTGCCTGCTGCTTATATCCCTCGGGAGATGTCAGACTGCCAGTTTTGGCAGATCTCCTCAGGCCAGGCAGGTATGAGGCTGAAACTGGCAGTTTGACATCCCCCATGGGGTCCTGCATTGTGAGAGAGCACAGGCCAGGCTGAGGGACCCCACCAGTGCATGAATCCGTGCACCAGACCTCTAGTTTATAGATAAATGTAATGAATATAATAATTTAATCCATATTGTGTTTTTCTCTGGTGATTTTTCTTCACTCTTTGATTTGTTCTATGATACCTGCTATTAGATGACAACATGAATTTCTAGGTAGCTAATGAGTTCTATAGGGAGCAAACAGCATAATGGAAATAGTAATAGTTATAATAATAACAACCACTTTCTATATGTACTAAGCATCATGTTAAGAGTTTTATTTATTTTCATTATGTGATATAGTTCTTCCATTAACAATAGAGAATTCTATTTCCACTTTACAGATGAGGAAACTGAGGTTACAGAGGATAAATAACTTGTCTCTTGAAGTTTCTGCTTCTCCTGCCCAGAGTTTCAGGTATTCTCTGGGATGTGTATTGAAGTGGACAGAGGAGGATATTCTAATTAAATCTCTTTGTGATGTTTGTATGATGGAAAAGATTAACCCAGAACTTCTCAGACTGTGCCCTATAAAGCTGTTATTTTGTTTCTAGTTTTGGTGTGGAGAGGGTGGGTCTTTTCATTTTTGCAAAGTAGCAAGATAAAAATTGCACTTGGTTACCTTTAACAACTGTCTGTTGCAATAAGGACTCTGAAATATTAGCAAGGTTTTCTCATTTAAGTCTCAATGGAGCTTCCCTCTTTCAAGCTCCATATCCATTACCAGTGGGGTACTGACTTGAGTG